CTTATACCGTTTTAGTTACCTATCAAATCCAACATTTTGCAGACTAAGTAACTATTTACCAAACAAAATCTTCATTTGTTTAATGAATTTCAATACCCACTAGAAAAAATCTCACTACAACTTTGACAAAGACACATTTTCGTAAGAGTAAATACAATATAATATGATAGATTAGTTTAGATATGTTCTTTTTGTAGGTGTGGTTCTTAGTACTTTGCTAATTCGAGTGTGATCATTGAAGGATATTGGAGAATAAAAACACCTTTTTGATATCGCCAAATCTTACGTGTAAATGACATGAATATCAATATCATGGACCACACTTTTTCTCAATTTTATGGTCCCAAAAGATGTTTAACTGATAGATTTATATGTTTCTTTTGTTGTTTTGCATTAGCAAAAGCTAGAGCATGATTGAAACCTTTGAATCGGGTTTGACATCGTGTCTTTGTCCAAAAGAGGTATTGTCGAGTCTTGAGCACCGATCGAGTCAGTGAAAGTTTATACTATAAGGTCTTGTTCATCACATAGTAGGACATGTGGATAACTTGGATCGAGGAGTATTACTTTGTTTGTGGATTATATTTTAGATTGGCATTTATGTGCCTATGTTGACCGGAGGTTTGGTTTTTAGCTGTTGTGAATTTATTCCATTTTAGCTTTTCTTGGCAATATATGTAAAGATGTTGTGAGGGGCTGATCTGATCCGATCCGATTTGACCCAGTTCTAATAGACATTAGTTTTGATTTTTTTCGGAGAACAAGCCTCGATGAATCATAGTTTTGTGATATTTGTGGATCGGTATACTAACAAATACAAAATAAATGACAGGTTTGATGGATTTGATAACGGTTCGGTTATAAATATTTTGTCATATATAAAATCTCTGTGTTGATGAGAAGTGATATTTTATTTTGGATATGCCATATATGCTATTAAAGCTTCATTTTGGATTTTTAAGACCAAAATTCATGATTTTGAAGCTAGTAAAAAATAATAATGGAAGTTAGGTTATAGTCTTCACGGGTTTCTCAAGTAGACGCGATCATGTGAATCTTAAGGATCTTAAAGCAAACATATTAGAGGACAAGAACTAGTAGCAAATTGAAAATTTAATGCAACATTTTGAGAACGATATTCTTTTTTTTTTTTTCTGAATTAAATCAACGGTACATATACTCCTATTAATGAGTACTTTACAGTATTTACTTTCACATATAAATTAAATATAATCTGATAAACATTTTTATCAAAATCTAAAACAAAATATCGTGTTCGTCCTCTAATATTATACTCCTATTAATCAACGTGAGGCCACAAAAGCACTAGGAGGATATTTATGTACTCTTATTTATGAGTACT